TAAAGTAGGTAAAGAGTTAGACTGAAAATTAGATATATTAGATACTAATTGGTTTGGTACTACCACTCAATCATCTATATTTAAAAAATGTTGTATTTGTGGTTCTACTAATAATTTAGAAATGCATCATTTACGTAAAGTTAATGATGTTCGTAGTAGTTATAAATCATTAGATTTATCTTATAAGAAATGAGTTGGATCTTTACAACGTAAACAAATACTATTATGTAAATATCATCATATGATGTTACATAGAGGTCAATTATTACATTATGAAGTGAGAATTATAAACTCTTATAGAGAAAATTTAGGATTATTTCTAGAAACGCTACCAAGTACTAAAGATAAGTAATCAAATATTTACTGTCTATTTAAATGACTTCATTATGGAAAGCCGTATGATGGGAAACTATCACGTACGGTTTGGGAAGCAGTAATGAGTAATTATTGACTTCACTTTATATGGAATTTTCTCATTATTCTCTGGAGTAGTAGGGTTAAGTTTAAGTATAATTATGAGATTAGAATTAGCAGCACTAAATCTACAAATATTAATGCACAACGGGCAATTATTTAACGGTGCGCCTTTGTGTTTATATTATCGGAATAATTACTTGATAATTATCGTATTATTAATCACGAATAATATAAAAATATATTATTCATACGTAAAGCATATAACTTACCTAATTAGGGCCAACTTAATGGGGACAATAGCATGTTATAAAAAGGATATGATTGGTGTATTCTGAGCTAAGGATTGCATGACTAGGTTAACGAACTCCTTTAAAGTCTTTTTTTGGGTATCAATTCCCTCTTACCATTCGGGTATAGAATACTCAGCTGTCAAATTATACGTTGAGGTTTGATGGTTGTGATTAATGAGATTAATAAATACAAGCAGTATTAAGAAAGATGGAGGGTCTAAACAATCTATTAACGGTAATATAAGAACTAAGGGATCAACTGAAAAAGGAAACTTTGGAGTTGACAGAGGTCTCGTAGTACTGAATATTCATCGAAAGATGAATTTTAATAATTAGGTAATACTTTACTTAATACATTAATAAGGAAGGGGACCAGGGGATTCTCTACTAAGGAACTAAATACTTCGGATTTAAAAGAATTAGTAGAATTGGCTAAATTAAGTGAAAATAAAGATATTAAATTAAATAATTTATTAAAATTATGTAAAGATCCTGATTTATTAAAATTAGTTTATAATAAAATTAAGAGTAATCTAAGTAATATGATTGAAGGTACTTCTAGACAAACTTTAGATGGTATTAGTAATAATTGATTTGATTTTATTTCTAATGAAATAGGATCGGGTAGATTAAAAATAAATCTAAGTCGTAGTATAGAAATACTTAAACTAAAAGGTGGTACTAGACAATTAAGTTTTGGTAATCTACGAGATAAAATTATACAAGAATCTATAAAAATTATATTAACAATTATATTTGAACTATTAATGTCAAATAATAGTCATGGTTTTAGGCTTAATAAAAGTTGCCATACAGCTATTTGACAAATAAGAAATAATTTTAATAGTGTTAATTGATTTATAAAAATTGATATTTTAAAATGCTTTGACAGTATTCTTCATAATTTAATAATATCTCAATTAAAAAAACGTATTGATGATCAAGGTTTTATTAATTTAATTAGTAAAGTTTTAAAAGCTGGATATTATGATAGTAAAGGTGTATATCATAATCTAAATTATGGAATACTTCAAGGAGCGACTATAAGTCTTATTTTAAGTAATATAGTTTTATCTTTGATTGATGATTGATTAGATGAATATATTGATAAATTTAATTGCGGAACAGTTCGTAAAATAGATCTAAAATATAGTAAATTATCTCAATTAATTAGACGTGCTAAATTATTTTCAGAAAGAATAAAATTATCTAAATTAAGAGCTAAAACTACAAATCTTCATCTGAAAAATGACTAGATTTTAAAAGATTAAAATATGTTAGATATGGAGATGATATTTTATTAGGTGTTATAGGTTCTAAACAAGATTGTATTATTATACAAGATAGTTTAAGTAAATTTATAGAAACTTTAAATTTAAATATTAATAAGGATAAAACATTTATTAAATGTGCTAGTAAAAAACTAGCTAGATTTTTAGGATATGATATTAAAATTACTCTAAGACATAAGTATCTTATTGTTAATAAACATTATAGTATTAGAACTATAAGAGGACTTAATAATACTAGACTTATAATAAATGCTCTAATTAGATATATATTAACTTAGTAGATCATGGTTATGCTAGATCTTGTAAAAATGGTAGATTTGCTCAACTTACAGGTTTAGGTAGATTAATGCATGAAGAAATTCATGTAATTATAAATCATTATTTAATGGTAGGTAGAGGAATCTTAAGTTATTATAGATTAGCTACTAATTATAATAAATTAAAACATCGTATTTGATATACTTTATATTATTCTTGTGTATTAACATTGGCAAAAAAATTAAGAATACTTACTAAAAGTAAATTAATTAAAAAATTAGGTTTTCTATTAAGAATTAAGGACAATAAAGGCGATATTATAACTCAATTTCTTAGAAATGTATTTGATAATATTGTTAGAATAGATTCAGAATATTCATATAAAGCATGAATTAATAAATCTAATTTTAATGAATTATCTCCTATACTTTTATTATTAAAAAAATTAAAATATTGATTACTTGCTTCTCGTCAAACATTAAATAATCTTTGTATTATATGTAATTCATATAAAAATGTAGAAATGCATCATATAAAAAAATTATATAGATTAAGATTATTTAAACGTTATGATTATATAACATCGAGAATGATTTTAATTAATAGAAAACAAGTACTATTATGTAGAGATTGCCATATAAAATTACATAAGGGTAATATTACTTATAAAGGTATAACTTCTAAGTTAGGTCTTGGCTTATAATCTCTGGAGAGCCGTATGATGGGAAACTATCACGTACGGTTCGGTGGGGGCTTTTATATTTAATAGAATAAAACCTATTAGATATACTACTGCTACCCAATTCTTGGTGACCGCTCATGCCGTCTTTATGATTTTCTTTATGGTTATGCTAATAACTATGGGAGCTTTCAGTAATTACTTAGTTCTATTAATGATAGGTACAAGTGATACAGCATTCCTAAGAATAAATAACATTGCATTCTGATTATTAGTACTTAGCTTATTATTTGCTGTATTAAGTACAATAATTGACGAAGGTCTAGGAACAGGTTGAACTGTATATCTACCATTATCATCATTACAATCACATAGTGGTATTTCTGTTGATATGGCTATATTTGCATTACACTTCTCAGGATTCTCATCTATATTTGGATCAATAAATTTAATGGTAACAATAATGAATATGCGTGCTAACGGTATGGATTATTCTAAATTAAATTTATTTACTTGAAGTGTATTAATAACAGCTGTATTAATATTAATATCAATACTAGTATTAGCTGCTAAACTAATAATAATAAAACTGGCAGCTTTATATTTCGCTATATGCTGGAACATCCATTTATTTATTAATGGACAATCAGCAGGTAACTTATACAATATATATAATATAAGGAACCTCAGAGACTACACGCGAAAGTTAATTATATATTTTTAATAAATCCTTTAAATTTATTATTAAATAAGTATAATAATTATATTATAATATTTACTTATTAAAGAATTAAATAATTTTGATAATAATTTATATTATAATAATCAATTAGGTTATTATTTAGCCGGTTTAATTGAAGGTGATGGTTCTATTAATGTTCTTACAACATTAAAATCAAAATTAGGTAAAAATAAATATCTATCAATTCAAATAACATTTATTAAAAAAGATTTTCTATTAGCTATGATTATTTCTAAAAATTTAAATTGTGGTTCAATTTCAAAAAAAAAGAATGTTAATGCCTATGATTTAGTAATAAATGATTATTTGGGATTATTAAGATTAATAAAATTAATAAATGGTAAATTTAGAACACTTAAAATAGATAGATTAAATTTATTAATTGATTGATATAATTATAATGGACATTATCTATTAGAAAATAAATTAGAAAAATATCTAATTGATAATTCACTATTAAATAGTAATAGCTGATTATCTGGGTTTATAGATGCAGATGGTAATTTTTATATAAGACATGGATATAGTAATAAATCTTTAGTTACTAAAACTATATTTAGAATTTCTCAATCTAAATTAGATAAATGAGGGAATTCTAAATTATCTTATATGCAAAATATTGCTAATTTATTTTTTACTAAATGTAAATTAATAGATAGAACATCAACTAATAAAGGATATCATTATATAATAATAACTAACTCATTTAAAAGTAATATGGCAGTTATAGATTATTTAACTAGATATCTTTTATTTAGTAGTAAATATTTAGATTATTGTAATTATAAAGAAATAGTTAAATTATTTGAAAATAGATTAAACCATACACTAGATAATATAGAATTAATTATTAAAAATAAAAATTCTATGAATAATAACCGTATAGTCTTTAATTGAAATCATTTAAATAATTTTTATACAATTAATTAATAAGATATAGTCCCAACATATATGTAATATATGAGTATTACCTTAATTAATTTAATATATTAGAATATATTATAATATAATATATATACTCATTAGAAGTAAATCAAGATAAAAATAAAAAAAAGGGTTAACAATTATTAGCAGATAGAAACTTAATACATCATTCTTGTTGTACCGGTGTGGATCTAATCTTAATCAGCATATATTCTATAAAATAATTAATTATCTTTATTATATATATTATTATATAGTAATATTATTTATGTGATAATAACAAATACTTATATTAATAACTATTTGATTAGATTTATTTTATAATGAATAAAAAAATTTACTAAATAAAAATTACTACTAAAGATTTTTAATTGATTATAGTTTGTAGAAGAGATGTTCCTTTGTATAGTAAAATTTATCTATTGTTAACTCAAAAAGAAAAGAAATATTAGATATTAAAAAAAAGAAATACAATTAGTCATGTATTATACAATCTAAGAAATTAAATTATATCGTTAATAATCAAAAAGAAGAGAATACTTATTATCATTATTATTAATGGAATTAGTATTACTTAGAAATATAAAATTTAATATATTTTAAATAAATTAAATGAAAATTATAAAAAAAATCACAAATAATAAAACTAATTTTATTGTAAATTATTTCTATAAATAATTCTTGAATTTCCGGATTACTGATTCAGAAGGTTGTTTTCTATATCATATGAATAATATACTAATGGATATAGAATAAGATATATTTATCTCAAAAATGGAAATAATAACTTATTTTAGAAAAATTTGTAAACAATTAATATTATAATAAAAATAATACTTATCTAATTGGTAAGTTTATCTCATAGTAATAAAATTATGAATTAAGAATAATGGATTAAAAATGTAAATTATTTAATATTTGATAAATATCGTATTATCTAAAAAAATATTAGTTATAACAAATGAAAAAATAATATCTATGAAGAAAAAGGAGATCATTAGATCTTAATAAACGTAGTATAATTAAAATTTAGTTAAAATATAATATATAATATAAAAATAATAAAAAATTTATCCATGTTTGGAATAAAGGTGAGTTAATGTATAATTAAAATTAATAAACATATGCTTTAATTATAAATGATTTAATTATAATATAGTTTTATACTATATACTTACTCTAGTTATAAATAATAATTATTATAGCAATATGGTGGTACGGTCAAACATATATCTTTATATATAACCGTCAGTTAATTTTTATATAATTGCTACAGACTGCTTCACCAATGGTAATATTATAGCAATATTGCTTAATGTACAGTCGTTCTTCACAATATTTTTTATAATGTATATAATTTTTTTATATAAAATAGTTATAAGAATATAATTAAATTTAATATTAATTAACATCATATTTAATATGTATAATAAAATATATTATATTTGAAGAAATGGATTCTTGGTCAACAAAAATATATTATGGCCCTAAAATATTAATATAAAATATTATTGAATTCCCTATATCTGGAAACTATATTACATTATAAATACTAAAAAATATTAAATATATCATAATTAATATAATATATTAACCGATATAGTAAAAATTTAATAAATAAATTTTAATTAAAAATTATCATAGCAATCACAGGTAACGAATAATAATAATAATTTAGTAGAACCTCAGAGACTACAC